CAGACGAACATGTTTGTTGTTGTTCGAGGAGCGGCTCGGTCACACACTAATGTCATTAGTTTATCATTACTGAGCTGCAGGAACACTTTTTACTCCTTTTTTCACATCATGTCTCCTGCCTGGATCTGTTATTATCTCGCTCTGAAGCACAGAGGAGTGTCAGAGGTGAGCTCGTTTCAACTGCTTTTTACAGTGCGGTCTCATTTCCGGACTCAGGCATTTTGCCGATATTTCAGTTAAAATACATAAGTAAAAATATTTATCCGAGTATAGTACTACCCCCCAACTTTATGGATGATTTTATGGATTAAATTTTACGTATTATACTTGAGTAAATATGGTACTTTGTCTCTGTCTTGCTTTCTTTGCTGCCCCATTTTTTCTACACATAATCCAGATCTACTTTATCAACTTGATGGAAAATCTGAGCAACTCACGAGACTCACGAGGTCTGGAAGARTCCGTTTGAGCACAATATGTTATGATCTAATAGGATGTCAAAGCAATTCATCAGGGACTGAAAAACAAAGCCAGAGCAGGGAGCCAAAAAGTGCAAGTCTCTGAATGCCCCCATTTTACAAGATAATAAACATATTGAAAACCTGGCAACCTAAGAGACAACTCCTACACAACTCACTCTGTTAGTGCTTAAAGAGAAGCACACAGACGTGTGCTGAGTGTCTGGGTCACCACTTAATTAAAGATGTGAGCCGGGGGGTCGCCTTCAGCCCCTGCGACACACTGACATTTCCTTGGATAAGACACAGAACTGAACTGTTTTTGTTGTTTTATTTTTAACCCGATGAAGATGCAGTTCAGACTGAAGTACCACCACCGCCTCCAACATGGTTATTACTGTGCAGCGGAGACAATAACAACAAAACAAACTGGAAATTCACATGTAAWTTGGGGAGTGTGAAACTATAAAGCATTTTGCAGAAACTGAAGCGTTTAAAAAAACGTCTCTGTATAACTGTAAAYTGTGTCGGGCGGAAGAAGGTTGAGATGAACCAAAGTTACACCAAACCTTCAGATGATTGAAAGATTAATTCAGTTAAAGCATGTGYCAAATGGGCCAAATGTGGCTCACCGCTGCATTGTTTGTGGCCCGTGAGTGCCTTAAACATGTTTTATTGTCTTTTAATAATCTGCTTTAAAGCCAGTATTGAACCCAAGATACATCCCCCATAATGCATGTTGAATATTTTACCTGTAAAAGGACAGCTTCCCACCACTTGGCGGTACACRGGGTTCAAAAGCAGTCAGCGAAATTCAGAGAGTAAAATTGCCATTTTGCTGCATTTTTGATGRTTGCTTTTGCTACGGYCCAGTTGTACTGGGAGGTGGGAATTTCCCTCTTACAAAGTTGTAAATTTAAACTGGTACACTGCCCCAGTGGGAATTCCCTGTCGGAAAGTGGGAGAGTTCAGAATCAAGATTGCAGCTACTCACCAATACTCATCAGTGAGTAAAACTCTTTTAAAAGTCAGTCCGTCCGTTTTCTTCTGCTTACCCGGGGTCAGGTCTCGGTGGCAGCAGCCTAAGCAGAGAGACCCAGACCTCCCTCTCCCCAGCCACTTGGACCAGCTCGTCCGGGGGAATCCCAAGGCGTTCCCAGACCAGCTGAGAGACATAGTCCCTCCAGCGTGTCCTGGGTCTTCCTCTGGGCCTCCTTCCAGTGGGATGTGCCCAGAACACCTCACCAGGGAGGCGTCCAGGAGGCATCCTAACCAGATGATCCACCTCAACTGGCTCCTCTCCACGTGGAGGAGCAGCGGCTCTACTCTGAGTCCCTCCTGGATGACTGAGCTTCTCACCCTATCTCTAAGGGAGAGCCCAGCCACCCTGCAGAGGAAACTCATCTCATAGCGATCTTCTCGCTATGAGACAACAGCGGTTGAGAAAACAAAACAAAATTAAAAACTGTTTTCTGGTGTAATTTAAAGCTGCCTTTGATGACATCTTAGAACTTCAAATGTCTATTAATAAACCAGAAARAAATATATCTCAAAGAATGTCTCCTGAAGACACTTTTCCTTCTTAGTAACTGAAAGAATGATCAAGATTTACAACGATCAGGGAAATAATTGAAGATGCACCATTTGTGTTTGATTTCGATAAAATGCCACATGTGACTATTATCTTCCATCAGTTAATAGAAAAGCAACAAAACAAACCCACTGAAGCCGCATGTTTCTTGCAGTCTAATAAACTAAAGACAAGTTGAAGTTACCCACCAAAGTTACTGGATTCGGATAAAAATCTTTCCCAAGAAATGTGGTTATATTTCCATATTCAAAACCAGCTGTGGTTTTCAAAGATCACAGTATATATCTTATTTAAACACAAATAACACCCAATCTCTGTGGGAAAAAAAACTGATACATAAAGATTCTTTATAAAAGGGTCAGCGCCACAAAGGCTTTTGCAAATGGAGACTAATTACCGGAGAGTTCTGCTTTGTTTTTGCTGCCAATAAATCATGAAAGCATTTATAAGATTCTGAGATTATTTCTCAGCTATGAGATTAATTGTTGTTTCTCCACAGTTCTCCTTTTAAACCTGGCCTGAACGTAATTACAAAACTATTTTCTGTCACGTTCAATTCTGGGAACAATGATTTCATGATATCCAGCCGATATTTAAAACTTTCTGCGCAGTTCTGCCTCGTATTGGTTTACATTAATCATGAGCAAAATACAAAATGGTTATTTATAACTTGCGGGACATGAAGTATTTCCTCTGAGGGAAAAACTGAAAGCTAGAGGTTAGTTTTGAATAAGTAGCAGACTAATTTGTCAACATTTCGGTGGGTTTTTGTCACATTTTGGGCTTATTTGTTCAGTCTATGCCATGAGGGGATGAAAGCGTCTGCTACCATATGTTTCCACTGAGTGATGAAGCTCTCTCTGCCCAAAATATTTTTATTGGCTGCAGCTTGTGGCACCGTTTGACCTGAGCTGAAAAGTAATGACATTTAATTCGAACCACAACTAGAATCACCACCCTGCTATGACACCTGCAAGCATCACCCACCATCATGAAGGTGGGTGATAATGGAGCTTTGTGTTAAAAGAAAATAAGGTTGAGAAGGTCCTCTAGATGGGTTCTTTTCTTCAAGAGACTTATTCAGGTTGGCTCAGCCATATAAGCAGTTTTTGCAATGCATGGTCGGGTCAGCATTTATGCATGAGTCCTTCTGGCCCAGGTCCACCCTGATTTCTGGAACCTCAAGACCTGTAGCTCCAATTGGGTCAGGCTGATCGGCCCAGTTTGACTTAAGCTACTGCTACTCATTGGTTGGTTCACAGACTTGGAAGGTTACGTCACACAGATGAAAGCAACTTTACTGAAATCGTTTTGCAGCGACTGTACCATTTGTTTTATGTGTTTAACGTGAGCTAACAAAAAGGCTAACATTAGCKTACCGTTCTCTGTTGTCCTGCCCTCTCCTCTTATGTGTCATAGTGCTGGATGGTCCGGTTCAATGTTCTTTAGTTTTCCTTCGAATTTGGTTTAGTTCATTATTGTGTTTTCACAAATAAAACTAAATAAGATTGTGCGCGTTAAATATTACGATCCTGCCCACATCGAGGCGGTACTCTGCTCAGTTCTTTTGAACAGTGGCCACTTTGTTTCCTCGATGTACAAAGGCTGTTTACGTGTTTATACTTGATGCTTACGTTGCTGTAGTATTCTCCAAAAATGACGTGTGGGAGTACTCTTTGTAAGTGTGAAAGTAAGAGAGCAAAAGCTTGACAGACACACTGTTTGAATGGTGAGTGGGGCGCAGCAGCCTTTGCGGAGTTACAAAAATTTGGAGGTGATTGCGTCACTGTTGGCACGCACCCCCTCGTGCCCAGTGCAACACAT